CTGGGTGTCATCTGCAGACTGGTGACACTTCACTCCCAAACTCCTGGTGAGAGCTCCCAGCGGCTTCACATAGGTGTTAAAATAGCACAGGGGACAAGATGAGAACCTGAAGGACAGCACAGGGGAGCTACCATACATGAGGAGCAGAACCACTGAAGTACAGTGCCCACAACCCCACTTCCACGAGACATCCCAGAAGGATGCTGTGGTCAACAGTATCAAAAGCAGGGCTGAACTCTCCCAATCTCTCTTTGACTGATGTCATCAACCAGGAAGACCAACGCAGGTTCAGTGCCATGACCAGGCTGGAAGCCAGGCTCAAAAACATCCAGTCTCCTCCAAGAATGCCTGAGATTGGACCTGATCTGGTATAAACATCCTACAAAGCTATGATTCTGCTGAAGAGAGCGCATTGTTTCTATGAGTGAAGTACTACAGTGGTACCTCGGGATGCGAACGGGATCCGTTCCGGAGCCCCGTTCGCATCCCGAACGGAACGCAAGATGCGCCGGCGTATCTGCGGGTAGTGTTTCGCCTCTTCCGCGCATGCACGTGACGTCATTTTGAGCATCTGCGCATGCGCAAGCGGCGAAACCTGGAAGTAACGCGCTCCGTTACTTCCGGGTTGCCGCGGAGCGCAACTTGAACGCGCTCAACCCGAAGCACATTCAACTCGAGGTATGACTGTACTGATAAAATTTAACAAGAGGATTTATTACTAGCCTTGGAAGACTAGACAAGTTCCGCATTGGTAAGTTTCCATGCAGCAGGTACCGCTCATCACATGAATGGTCGTACGAAGCCTTTAAATACCAAAGCAAAATTGCATTGCATTTCAAAATCAGCACCATCTCTCTGCCGCAAGATTCCAGTTTTGAGCCTTCAACCCAGACCAGCTTCTCAGACACACATTTAAAACGACAGGTGTACAATTGCTTCAATGGCACTAGAGGGTGCCAAAGGTATCCAGAGCTTATAAGAAGTTTGCTTTGAATCCTGACTGCACCGAATGAGAACCTAGGGGCCATTTTTAATGATGCGGCAGGTTAAGTTAAAGGGGAAAGCATTTCCAATTCCAGCTCTCCCTATTGCTTGGCTCTTGTACAAGGCAGAGAAGGGAGGGAATACCAATGCATTTGACCAGGCAAGGCATTTAAAAAGGAAATGAATCACAGTTCCACATTTTAAAAAGGTGAAGCTGAAGGAGACTTGAGATTGTTTAAAAAAAAAATCACTTGCAATTTGTACTTGTGGAATTTTATTCCGTTACCTACTGAACATCAAACAGTTCAGTGGCATTCTAGAAAAGCTGCTTCTCTTCCCAGACCCCGTACTTTTCTTTGCCGGAAGAAACACATTTGCTGAGGGTTGCCATACATCTGGATTTTCCCAGATGTTATGTACTGAAGTTCTCACCCTTGGCCAGCAGGGGGATACTGTAGATAGTTATGCAAATGAAGGATCGAAAGTGACGTTCAGTGATTGGATAGTTTTAGAAAGTTGCTACAGTTACGTTGTACTGGAGCTCTATATAAGCAGGCTGGCTGAACCCTTCAGTTCAGTTCTGTTCTGGCCTGTGAATAAACAAGAGCTGTTTGAAGAATCGCTGTGTCGTCTGATATGTTCACCCACAACTTGACACCGGACATAGTTGGCAATTGGCCGTCGGAAGATGTGTCTGGGCGGAAATAGCTGAAACGTCCAGGAAAATCTGGACATCTGGCAACCCACGTCGGCAATGTCATTTTTGCTGATTTCCCTTAAAAATAGTTCAAAAACTTCATTTTCTCCCCAAGATTTTGCAAAGAAAGCTCAACAACTTTTCTGCCCAGATTTTCACTTTCTGAAATATAGCAACCCTACATTTGCTACAAAGTAAAACTGAACATTCTTCTAGATGACCTCTTCTCTGGCCATTCGTCCAGATTTGGATTCAGAGATGGAACTGTGTCCAATCTTTCTTGAGTGTTCATTTTGATTTATTGGCTATTCAGTCTCAGTCTCAGTCTCAGACCCAAGATCAGACAGACACAAAATGTCTTTTTAATGCTTTGTTCACTCTGATGTTCATTAATACAATTCTTCACCTCAATGCACACGGCCTATTTTCACCATCATCTTCATCATCACCATTTTATTTGTATCCACAGTTAAAACAATGCTCAAGGCGGCTTACAATATGAAGAGATTTACATAACTACAAACATAGCAAAGTAGTCATAAAAATAAATAAAACACATTAAAAACTACATAACCAAACTGAACAATTTCCACATAAAAATAAAGATACAAAAAGTTAATATCAGTAAAAAGGTAAAGGGACCCCTGACCATTAGGCCCAGTCGTGGCCGACTCTGGGGTTGCGGCGCTCATCTCGCTTTATTGTCCGAGGGAGCCGGCGTACAGCTTCCGGGTCATGTGGCCAGCATGACTAAGCCACTTCTGGCAAACCAGAGCAGCGCATGGAAACGCCGTTTACCTTCCCGCCGGAGTGGTACCTATTTATCTACTTGCACTTTGACGTGCTTTCAAACTGCTAGGTTGGCAGGAGCAGGGACCGAGCGACGGGAGCTCACCCCATTGCGGGGATTTGAACCGCTGACCTTCTGATCGGCAAGTCCTAGGCTTTGTGGTTTAACCCAAAGCGCCACCCGCGTCCCTAATATCCGTAATATCAGTTAATATCTAATGGTATACCACCTTCAACAAGTTGGCATGCTGCCCTGGCAAGCCAATTTGCAAGACTCTTGCCAAGCCAGGAGCTTCTGCTGTCCAGTAAGGCGTAGTCTTGTTCCAGGTGTGTATATGTGTTGTGTATATCCTTATCATTTTCATTTGACTTATCTCAAAATTCCTTGCCCAGGTGGATCCCATTATGGCTGCATCTCCCAAGCTTGGGTGCCCAGATGCTGTTTGACTACAATTCCCATCATCCCTCACCACTGAGCCTGTGAGCTAGGCATGATGGGAGTAGTAGTCCAATACAATCTGGGGAGCCAAGGTTGGGAAAGGCTTATGGCATGGAAGAGGCTCATGACCAGCTTGTGTCTTTTTAGTATTCCCTGCCTTCTTGGCCCTATTATGTTATGACTGTTATCATCAGGGGGTTTGGGCTGGGTGTTCACCAGTATGCAGATGATACCCAGCTCTACCTCTCGTTTAAATCGGAACCAGTGAAGGTGGTGAAGGTCCTGTGTGAGCATGTTGAGGCGGTTGGAGAATGGATTGGTGGCTACAAGATTGAGGTTGAAACCCAACAAGACAGAAGTACTGTTTCTGGGGGACATGGGGTGGGCAGGTGTGGGGGATTCCCTGGTCCTGAATGGGGTAACTGTGCTCCTAAAGGACTAGCTCAAGTTTCCTCAACCTTGGCCCTCCAGACGTTTTGAGACTACAATTCCCATCATCCCTGACCACTGGTCCTGCTAGAAGAAGAAGAAGAAGAGTTTGGATTTGATATCTCACCTTTCACTCCCTTTAAGGAGTCTCAAAGTGGCTAACATTCTCCTTTCCCTTCCTCCCCCACAACAAACACTCTGTGAGGTGAGTGAGGCTGAGAGTGTGACCAGCCTAAGGTCACCCAGCAGCTGCATGTGGAGGAGCGGAGATGCGAACCCGGTTCCCCAGATTACGAGACTACCGCTCTTAACCACTACACCACACTGGCTAGCTAGGGATCATGGGAGTTGTAGGCCAAAAACATCTGGAGGGCCGAGGTTGAGGAAGCCTGGACTAGCTGTATAGCCTGGGAGTCATTCTGGGCTCACAGCTGTCTGTGGAGGCACAGGCTAATTCTGTGTCCAGGGCAGCTGTCTACCAACTTCATTTGGTATGCCAGTTGAGACCCTACGTGCCTGCACACTGTCTCGCCAGAGGGGTACATGCTCTAGTTATCTCCCGCTTGGACAACTGTAATGTGCTCTATGTGGGGCTACCTGTGAAGAAACTACAACTAATCCAGAATGCAGCAGCCAGCTAGATTGGTGACTGGGAGCGAACACTGGGACCATGTAACACCAGTCCTAAAGGATCTTCACTGGCTTTCAGTACATTTCAAGTACAATTCAAAGTGTTGGTACTGACTTTTAATGCCCTAAATGGCCTCAGCCCACCATACCTGAAGGAGCATCTCTACCCCCCCCATCACTCAACCTGGACACTGAGGTCATCTTCCAAGGCTCTCTGGTGGTTCCCTCACTGTGAGAAGTGAAGCTATAGGGAACCAGGCAGAGGGGGCCTTCTCGGTAGTGGCGTCCTCCCAGTGGAACACCCTCCCAGCAGATGTTAAGGAGATGAGAAACTATATAAACTTTAGAAGACATCTGAAGGCAGCCCTGTATAGGAGTACTTTTTGATGTGTAATGTTTTATTATGTTTTTATACCTCAGCTTGAGGTATTTTAGCTATTACATCATCTAAATTCTTCTCCCCTGTATTAAAAAAGGTAAAGGTACCCCTGCCCGTACGGGCCAGTCTTGACAGACTCTGGGGTTGTGCGCCCATCTCACTTAAGAGGCCAGGGGCCAGCGCTGTCCGGAGACACTTCCGGGTCACGTGGCCAGCGTGACAAAGCTGCATCTGGCGAGCCAGCGCAGCACACGGAAACGCCGTTTACCTTCCCGCCAGTAAGCGGTCCCTATTTATCTACTTGCACCCGGGGTGCTTTCGAACTGCTAGGTTGGCAGGCGCTGGGACCGAGCAGCGGGAGCGCACCCCGCCGCGGGGATTCGAACCGCCGACCTTTCGATTGGCAAGCCCTAGGCGCTGAGGCTTTTACCCACAGCGCCACCCGCGTCCCTGTATTTATAGTTCTCTATTTTTTAAATAACCTAACAATATTTCTATCAGCTATTTAAGCTTTCCTCACAACATTTGTCCAGTATTGTTTTTCCCATAGGACTGCTAAATAAACATTTTTTGAGTTCTTCTAAGGTTTTCCCCAACAAGACACAAAACATCAAAAAGGTATCAGGTGGTACAAATGACCATGGCACTGTTAATTTATTTATGTAATATTTTATTATGCATTTGCACATTAGAGGAGTTTTGAATTAAAACCAGTTACAACACACAGTATAAAAAATTACTTTTTCTCTCTGGAACATTAAAAATGAGCATGTACACACATGTCGGAACTGCCAGGTTTCTGCAGCTCAGATGGTGTGCTAGTCAAGAGTAAATGGACATAAAACTTCTGAGAGATGAAAAACTGCCACAACAAGCAAGACAAGCTGTGAGAGAAACAATTTCTTTGAGATTTAATAGCAGCACCATAATCAATAGCTTGAAATACTCATAAGCTGGAGAGGAAAGACAGCAGGTCAAACCAGCAAGGCTAAAAAAAAAAAAAAAAAAGGCGATGAGAGATGTGCAGGCAGAGGAAGAATAGATCCCTGAAGCTTTTTCCAAGATAATATGTCTGGAATCCTGTAAGATGAAGTTGGAATTAGTGCTATCGTGTTCAGAAAAAAAACAACTAAAGCTATTGAGCTGAATGGTAGGGAAAGCTTGAAGCTTTCCATGTTTGAGATGTGAGACGTATATAATACCCTTTCTAGTCAAAGGACAGTAAAAAGGTAAAGGTACCCCTGCCCATACGGGCCAGTCTTGCCAGACTCTAGGGTTGTGCGCTCCCCGGGAGCCAGCGCTGTCGCGGAACCCGGGTCACGTGGCCAGCGTGACAAGCTGCATCTGGCGAGCCAGCGCAGCACACAGAACGCTGTTTACCTTCCCGCTGGTAAGCGGTCCCTATTTATCTACTTGCACCCGGAGGTGCTTTCGAACTGCTAGGTTGGCAGGCGCTGGGACCAAACGACGGGAGCGCACCCCGCCGCAGGGATTCGAACCGCCGACCATGCAATCGGCAAGTCCTAGGCGCTGAGGTTTTACCCACAGTGCCACCCGTGTCCTCCCAAAGGACAGTAGAAGAAACATATAATTCAAAATGTATTTCATACTAAATATAAGGCACCAAAGTACAGTGTATCCAGTGTATGGTTGGGTTACAACCATAACCTGTTACGGTGGTCCAGTTGTAAACCAAAACAGGTTGTAACCCAAGGCGCGCTTTCGCCAATGAGGCCTCCAAAAAAATGGGTTGTAATAATAATAATAATAATAATAATAGGGGTTGTAATACAAAAAAATGGGCATGCACTTCCGGGTTTGACATGGTTGCAATCCAAAATGGTTGCAAACCAAGGTACAGTGGTACCTCGGGTTACATACGCTTCAGATTATAGACTCCGCTAACACAGAAATAGTACCTCGGGTTTAGAACTTTGCTTCAGGATGAGAACAGAAATTGTGCTTCGGCGGTGCAACGGCAGCAGGAGGCCCCATTAGCTAAAATGGTGCTTCAGGTTAAGAACAGTTTCAGGTTAAGAACAGACCTCTGGAACGAATTAAGTACTTAACCCGAGGTACCACTGTACTAGTATTGGTCCAAAGACTATTGTTGAAAAAAGTAAAAAGAAAGAACTCCAAAATCTATGGTTGGGCAACAACAATGTATGCTTCCTCTCTCTGATAAATGAAAACTCTGGCAGTGCGTCCATTTTAAGACCCGGGCTTCTCCTCTTCTGCATCCTTGAACCCTCCTGGCTGTTAAGGCTCATTCACACTCGTTTAACCACATCGGTTAACAAACCTGGATACATATGCTATAATGTTATTGTTTTAGTTAAATAAATTGTTTAAACTGTTATTAAGGAAATGATTATTTTTCTCCTTCCAATAAAGTACAGCAGAAAAGCTGTCCAAATAATAAACAATAATTTCCTAATTATCTGTCTATGTATTTCTGATAGTATAGTCAAATCAGCAATTTTGATATAACTGTAAAAACTACTCCAAAAAACTATTATTCCAAAAATGAAGCCTTCAGCTGATTGAAAATATTCAGAGGATGCCAGCAAGGTTGAACCTTTCTGTAAAATTGATCTACATCAAGACTTACTGATTAGTGATTAAAATAAAATCCTGACTAAAGCATCCCTGACATATGCCCAACTTTTGCTTAAAAACTTCTAAGGAAGGAGAGCTCACAACTTCCCAAGAGAGCGCATTCTACTGCTGAACAGCTCTTTCTGTCAGAAAGTTCTTCTTGATAATTAGTCGGAATCTCCTGCTTGTAACTTGCAGCCATTGGTTCGACTCCAACCCTCCGGAGCAGGAGAAATCAAGCTTGCACCGTCCTCCATGTGGCACCCTTCAGATATTTGAAGATGGCTACCCTATCTCCTCTCAGTCTCTTCATCTCTAGGCTAAGCATACCCAGTTCCCTCAACCATCCCTCATCAAGTCTCCGTTTCCAGACCCTTGGCCATCTTGGTTGCCCTCCTCTGCATACCTTCCCGCTTGTCAATATCCTCCTTAAATTGTGGTGCCCAGAACAGGACACAGGACTCCAGGTGTGGTCTGAACAAGGCAGAACAGAGCAGGGCTATTATTCCCCTTTATCCAGGTGTGTTGCGTTCCCCGATTGCTGCCCGGGACATTCACCCACTGGAGCCTGTATTTGGCTACTGGGCGAAGACCGCAGCATCAGAGAGCGGCAGCGCCATGGCCTCTCCGACATGGGTTTTTCTGCGGATTGAGGCCTTTTCCAATTCAGCAGCAAACACTGAGTTTACGGGACAAATGGAAGAAGTCACGGGACAACAGTAAGTGTGGATAAGCTGTATGAGTCCCTGCATACAGGGCAGTATTTTTGGTAACAAGTGTAGGCCTGCAAGCCCATACAGCAAAGCCATATACCTGTAAGAACACCTCTCATTCACATACCTGGAGGCAAGCTGCCTAACTTTTATATAAGGGACCCCTGACCACTAGGTCCAGTCATGGCCGACTCTGGGGTTGCGGTGCTCATCTTGCTTTATTGGCCGAGGGAGCCGGCGTACAGCTTCTGGCGAACCAGAGCAGTGCACGGAAACGCTGTTTACCTTCCCACCGGAGCGGTACCTATTTATCTAATTGCACTTGACGTGCTTTCGAACTGCTAGGTTGGCAGGAGCAGGGACCGAGCAACGGGAGCTCACCCCGTAGCAGGGATTCGAACCACTGACCTTCTGATTGGCAAGTCCTAGGCACTGTGGTTTAACCCACAGTGCCACCCGCGTCTATATATATATATATATATATATATATATATATATATGAGAAATTCAGGAAACCAACATAATGCTTTAATGCAAATCTAGTTCCATTTTGAGAGGAGGAAAAAAACCCCACTTACCCTCTGTAGTTTGGGTTCTGTAGATCAATTTTTACTGGAAATGTTCAGGCTGTTACAAAAAATCATTATATATTAGTACATTCTTATGCTGTGGCACAACAACTAGTTACAAAGGGGGGGGTAGGGGGATCAAAGTTGCAAGGAAATAATACGGAAGAGGTCAAAGTGCTACAGAGTAAAATGCATGTGCGCTAATAATGGATGCCGCTGAACCAGCTCAGGTGAATTGGGGTGTATGGTTTTAAAGGAGTGCAGAGATCTGGAAGGCGTGACCGAAACCTGGTGGAATGGGGAGAACCAATGGATCACGGTTATCTCTGGATGCAAACTGCACAGGAGAGCCAGGGAAGGGTGTGCAACAAAGAGGACATGGAGTCTAACAAGCTAGAAATCCCAGAAGGGGCAAACACTGCCACAGAATTACTCTGGGTGGCAATACTGAGATCCAAGAGTAAGTCAGTACAGCGATTGTACCCTCATCCCCCTCGACTAAAATCCCCAGAGTGATCTTTAAATGGATGATGAAATGAAGGAGTCACACAAAGGAGAAGTGTTGCAGTGTCTTCACTTAACTTTGCATGCTCCAGTCACAACTAAGAGGCAAAATGTTATGTACTGAAGTTCTCACCCTGGGCCAGCAGGGGGATACTGTAGATAATTTTCACTCAGGTCCACATATGCAAATAAGGGATTGAAAGTGACGTTCAGTGATTGGATAGTTACAGAAAATGGCTACTGTTGCGTTCTAGTGGAGCTCTATATAAGCAGGCTGGCTGAACTGTTCAGTTCTGTTCTGGCCTGTGAATAAACAAGAGCTGTTTGAAGAATCGCTGTGTCGTCTGATATGTTCACCCACAACTTAACACTGGCGACGAAGGTGGGATCGATGGACAACAGAGCACAGCCAGATGCGGCCACCCTCTGAGCGGAGCTGAATCACTGAGCTGAAACACCGAGCGAAATCACTGAACGTCACTTTCCATCCCTTATTTGCATATGTGGACCTGAGTGAAAACTATCTACAGTATCCCCCTGCTGGCCCAGGGTGAGAACTTCAGTACATAACACAAAATTTCTAGATATCCTAAATAAAGGTGCCCTAGAACAATAGGACGTGAAACCAAGCAGAGGGCCAGAAACCCTTGATTTAAGATTAAGTGGCACTCAGGACCTGGCAAGAAATGGAAGATATTGTTCAACCAAGTGGGAGCAGTGACTACAGTGCTATCAAATTTAACATGCCCAAACTCTGCTTAAAAACCTCCAAGGATGGAGATTCCATCCTAGGATACATTTTGCAAGAGTTCTGCCTTTCTGGTCTGATGAGCTCCCCAAACACTAATTTTTACCACCCAAACACTACCATGTACATCTAGGATTGTGTTCACCAGTGGCGTAGCGTGGGTTGTCAGCACCCGGGGCAAGGCAAGTAATTTGTGCCCCCTAACCCGTGAGCCAGGTAGGGGCAGAGAGCTGTGAGTGCGAGCGCCCCCCCCAGATGTTGCGCCCGGTGTGGCCGGCCCCCCCTGCACCACCCACGCTACGCCACTGGTGTTCACTCATCTCAGGGTTCTGTGGTTTTCTTAGGCCATGAGTGTGTGTTTTTAATTGTCTCCTAATATGCTGCAAAAAAACCCTTTTATCTAAAGTTCTCCAATATCTGGTGCTTATACTTGTTCTTTCCTTCCTGCAGCGGTGATACTGAAATGACAACTCAACAGCTTTCAATCCACAGGGACAGCAAAGTCAATCCCATTGCTGACAATGCTGTAAGGTCAGTTAAACCTGCAGCCCGCCTGCTGATTCCTCTGATTTCTCGGCAGAAGGTTTGCAGTCAGTTAACCCTCAGCGTTCAAGTGTGTGCATTCCTTTATACCAGGGGTAGGTAACCTTCTCAATCCGGCCCACAGACGGTCCGGGAATCAGTGTGTTTTTACATGAGTAGAATGTGTCCTTTTATTTAAAATGCATCTCTGGGTTATTTGTGGGGCATAGGAATTCGTTCATCCCCCCCCCCAAAAAAAATATAGTCCGGCCCACCACATGGTCTGAAGGTTGGTGGACCGGCCCACGGCTGAAAAAGGTTACTGACCCCTGCTTTATACCATCCTTTAAAACAAAATACAGTGGTTGCTCGGGTTGCGAACGTGATCAGTGCGGGAGGCACGTTCACAACCCGCAGCGTTCGCAAACCCGCAGCTGCACGTCTGTGCACGAACGGGTTGCGATTCGGCGCTTCTGCGCATGCGCAACCGCTGAAACCCAGAAGTAACCCGTTCCAGTACTTCTGGGGTTTGGCAGTCCGTAACCCGAAAAAACGCAACCTGAAGCGTCTGTAACCCGAGGTATGACTGTATTGCCTCAGAAATGAACGATTTCTCCACAAGCCATTTCAAGAATGCTACAGGAAAAAAGGAGCCACTTCAGTCATGAAGATAATCTTCTTTGTGGCTCAAAGGTAAGACTGTGAGGTGGAAAGACATGCTTCTTCTGAGCAAATGTACCTCTAAGATCGACGGGGACGCAGTACGGCATGTTTGGAATAAAGACAAAACACTTTATTTGGAGCTGTGTGCAGGCCTGGTGTCAGCAGTAAGTACGCCGAGGCAAATGCCAGGGTGCGGACAGGGCCCATCAAGATCACGACTATTAGGGGGATCAGTGTCCCCTTCCCCCTATTTCAAAATTGGGAAAGGAGTACGACAAGGCTGTATTTTGTCTCCCTGCTTATTTAATTTATATGCAGAATACATCATGCGAAAGGCTGGGCTGGATGAATCCCAAACTGGAATTAAGATTGCCGGAAGAAATATCAACAACCTCAGATATGCAGATGACACAACATTGATGGCAGAAAAGTGAGGAGGAGTTAAAGAACCTTTTAATGAAGGTGAAAGAGGAGAGCGCAAAATATGGTCTGAAGCTCAACATCAAAAAAACGAAGATCATGGCCACTGGTCCCATCACCTCCTGGCAAATAGAAGGGGAAGAAATGGAGGCAGTGAGAGATTTTACTTTCTTGGGCTCCATGATCACTGCAGATGGTGACAGCAGCCACAAAATTAAAAGATGCCTGCTTCTTGGGAGAAGGGCAATGACAGGCCTAGACAGCATCTTGAGAAATAGAGACGTCACCTTGCCAACAATTTCAGTCCTCAGAGAATTGGACACCTGCATTTTAGTTCTTCTGCACCCCCAAACAGCCTGTACAACTCAGAGCAGGTGAAAATAGCAGAAACTGCAATAGTAGAGCACCAAATGTTCCTCCCTTAAACAACTTCTAAACATTTTATATTTAGAGGTTGAACAGACTGTATTGCATGCCATGCTTATATATGAGCTATTATTTCTGCCTCCGCAGATAAACACATTTTCTCAAGATCCCTTTCTGTTGTGGTATACAGAAGGAGTGATAAAACAGAACATTCAAGGCAATCTAAACTCTGCAGAAGTGGGCAGCTGTCATTTTGTGTTTAGATAAGCTTGTTTTAAGTCCCGATTCCTTTCTCCTCGAAAGCGATTGTTGAATTTATATTCATCAGCCTGGCTCCATGCCCACACCAGACAGTGAACATTACTAACACAGGCTATTCAGGTAGCGTGACTTTTTAAAAACACCTCACTGTTTTTCTTCTTCAGGATTTTGAAATATGAGGTTTGTTACTTACCCAGCTGTCAGCAATAAAAGGCATATTCCCAAGACATCCAGATTGGTACACGCCACCTGGCTGACTATTGTTTTGTAGTCTGTCCAGAAAGTCATTATTCACCCTTAGAACAGAAATGAGGAAATGAACATTAACAGAATCTTGCAAAAGGCAGAAATTATGAAATTGAATTCAGTACAGAAATTTGCTTTGCTTTTCATGACAACAGCCAATTGTGCAGGTAACTTTTGAGCCTGAAGACTATATTCGATTAAAAACCCCAGCTTCCTCATTTTCCAAGGCTAGAATGGCAACTTTTTACAATGGGGCTTTTGATACTCACTGATTACCCAACCTTGATTTATTTTTTTTAATCAATGCAGAACCTGATTTTAAAAAATCCAGTGGTACACTGTAATATGAAGCACTGCTTAAGTTAGTTGCATGAATTCTCTTAACTTAAATGAAAACCAAAAGATTAAACACTTAAGTCTCCTTCGGAGTCAATAAATATAGCTGGGAGGTGTGATAGGAATTTTATGGTCTTAGATATATGGTAATGTTCATAACCGCACATACATAGATCAGCACAGGAAGACCAACCTGGAACCATTTTGATTCCTAAACTGATCAAATGTTTTCTCTGCATGGTCAAAGTGGAAAAGCCTCCCCATTGTCTTTTCCTTCACAAATCCTGTCTTAAGGGTGTTTGAATAGGGTGTGAGCCTGTGACATGGTCCAGGAACTAAGTATTTATCACTACAAAAGAATGGCCAGGCTCCTCAGGCAATCCAATCAAGTAACCTGCCAGACAGGAGCTAAAGAAGGACAAGAGAAAAACAACATTCAAATTTCTGCTTTAAGACAGCCTTTTCTGTGATGTAGGTATGATGTTTCTGGGGGTGGTCTTGATCTACAGGGTGGCAATTTAAGAAGTCTTTATAAGGCCTTGCACAGCATTTTTGTGGGTCCTCCTCCTTTCCTGCGAGTGAGGGGAGCACCCTGTTGCAACAGATCAATAAAAATCAAGCTTGCTAGCTGCTTTGCTTCTCAATATTCTCTGGTTGGCCTCTGTTATTCTCTCCTACCAATAGGGAACCTATGTAAGGACTCCATATAGGCTCTTGGATACCCCATAAGGGAAAAGGGCAATTTTTGTATACAGCAGAGGGACCCATTATATTTGTTTAGAATAAAAGTGATGGACATTTTTGGGCAATGCATTCCACCAGATTTCCTACGCACTTCACATGAGACACGGCAAAAGGCTTGGAAGCTTTGGTATGGGAAAAAGATTAATGCAGCTTATTCAGAAGATTTTAAAACAACAACATTTATACCCTGCTCTTTGGTCCACAAAGCACTCCTGTGCTCTACAGAACAATAACAAATTGTCATTTTACATGAAGCATACATAAAAACTGGCATCTGAATTCAAACCTAAAAAATGTTTCACACGAGAAGTCACAGGCTTCCTTCCACTAATTTTACCTCCTCTGCTCATTCTGATGCGCTTTCATTCTTATTCTCTCCTCTTCCCTTTTCTTAAGTTCCAACAATTCAGCCTGACAATAAAAAGCAAAAAACTGTGAGTTAACGTTTAACAGTCATGCAGAACACGCAATAGGCAATTATCCTGTGATAATAAACTAGCATTATACTTCACTATCAAAGGCCCTGCCAAGCCACACCAACACAACCGGTTCCACTATTGTCAAGTTATCACTGGTACGCAAATTAGTGTTCTCAACCGTCACAGAAGCATTGGCAAGGGTCTCCTTGGAAGGAGGGAAACAGTGGTAATTCTATGGTACGGAACTCTGCACTTGCCCTCCAATACAAGAAGTAATCACCTCTGGATTTCAAAAATGTGGTAAAAGTATGCAAGTTGATGGTTTCTCCCGGAAGCAAAACTAGACTTACATGGCTTGGTTAAATGTGCAACACTAACCACATTTCTTTTTTAAAAAGCTTGGCAAATAATACCTTTAAAAGTGTAGACTTGCCTGGCACCTTCATTACATATATTTAGGTGCCGGGCGAAGACATTCCTCCTGGCCTTTGGCTAATTAACATTTTATAGCCCTATAAATTTGTTTGTGGGAGGCGGCCACTATTAGCTTGTTTTTGTTTCGTTATGTATTCTGTGTTCTCATTTTGTATTTCTCTGTCGTGAACCACTCTGCGATCTTCAGAGGATGGGCGGTATACAAATTTAATTAACAAATTAAAAACATAATAGTTGGAAAACAGATCCCCAAGATATAGTGTTTGAAGCTTGCTCCACAAGGATCCTTTGAAGTTATCCCTGATACCTCACTGTTTGCAAACCTCTCCAACCAGGTTTACACCTGCAATTCAGGAGACTATTTCCTGCATTTAATGAAGTGGACTCCACAAGATCCACGAAAGCTTATGCCATCATAAATCTGTTCGTCTTTAAGACGCCGTGGGGCAAAACAAGGCAACAGCTGTAGAATAAGCTATGGAAAAAGCTTGTTCTATGATTGCTGCTGTTCTTCACCTTTCTTCGCTGCTCTTCCTTCATCTGCTGAAGTTTTCTGTTTTCTTCTTCTCTTTGGATTTGCTTGTATGACTGGCTCCTGGTCTGTTGCAAAGTAAATAATGTGCAAAAAAGATATACATTAATAACTATCTAGAATTTAGACCTTGACACCATGTTTTTGTAATTTGTAGCCCTTATGGTTTTCAAAACAGAAAGGGCGATCCACACTTGCTAAACAAAATAAATTCACACAAAGCAGTTACCCAGGCTGTAGGCTGGAGGTTATGGTGGTTCATTGGACGAGGTGTTCTGTTGAATGGTCTTGCATCCAATCTGTGCAACAATTCAGTGTTTTTTCTGTAAGATGGATACAAATATGGCCGTCAGAGCTTTCAGGGTGTTAGGATTATGCATTTTGTCAGACCCTGGATTGTAGCTAGATCTGCAAGAGGACCAAGAAATAGCAAGCAGAACTGAAGATCAGAAAGAGTCCAGAAAGTAAGGTGCCAAAGAAAATAGCCGATTACAAAAGAGAACTGCTTACTTAGCTGTCAGCAAGGTGTTTTATTATTATTTATTAAATCTGTATATCACCCATCACCCATCAATCTCAGGGCAGTTCACAACATAAAATTACAATACACAACAATACCCAACACGGAAGATTGGCAAATCCTAATGGTAGCGAAAGTGACAGGAAGAGTAAGAGGCCAACTAAAACAAAAAGTCTATAAGGATTGGAGAATCTTTAAAGAACATTTAGAAAACTATGGAATAAAAGGAAACATCTTGGCAGAATTAAACTGATCCCTGTGTTGTATAAATATAAGTTTGTAGGGAGGTAAAAAGAAATTATATAAGAAATATGTAACTGCGCGGTATAAAGCAATGGATAGACAAAGTACAGTGAGATTAATTGGAAGTCAATTTTAAATTTCTTTTCTATAAATTTTATAATTGTGTTCAATACCAGGAGTATATGTGATGATAATTATATTAAAATACTTATATCTTATAGTGTGATGGTTTGTTTGATTTTTCTGTTATTTGTATGTTTGTTTACTTGTATGTATGTCTGTTTTTCATAAATGTATTTATTTTAAATTAATAAAGATATATTTTTTAAAAATTACAATACAGTCTGTTCCTTGTTCTTTCTATCCCTGCCATGTAGCAACCACTCAACCCAAATCTCTCTTCTCCAGCTAACTTCTCTCACGCTGAGCTGGTCTGCATGTAACACTAAGCCAAACCATGGTTTAGCATGACCACACCGGAGCTGTGCTCTTCCCGCAGTCCTGCTGCTGCTGCATAGCTATGAGCTAAACCATAGTTTGGCTTAGCAGGCCATTTGAAGCCAGCCTCATGGTTTGTTTCACTCTAGACAAACCATAAGCTGCAACCATGTTTTGTTCTCGAGTTTATAGCCAGACATCCACAAACCTGCGTTTGGATTACATGCTGAATCAGAAGGACCCATTGGACACTTAGTAAGTCCTGTTCTCCATTCTCTCCACTCTGCCATTCAGCAGGCAGTAGTTTCCACATGTCTCCAAACAAGTCCATTCATTTTGTCCAATAGCCCGAAAATTCTCACAGGTTCTCCCACCTTCCCATTTCTGTGATCCATCTAAACAGTCTGTTCTATTTTGAATTACCTCTTAAAATGGGTCAAGGACAGCTTGAATGCAAGCTATCATTAGCCATACTAAAACATGTGGAACCACGTATCCGAGGTGTTTTTCCATCTTGGATATAGCAGCAGCAGAATTATATTCCTCACACTCAACCACAGAAAACATAGGACGTGCAGCTAGCAATGTCTTGCATTTCATCCAAACCTCCTTATCTAAAGTTAGTTAAAGTTGCGGCAGGCTAAGCTGGATGGCTTTCCTGTTGCTCAGTCACAAGAGAAATAAAAAAATGAATTTTTATATCATCCTTGAATTATATTCCAAGGGCAATTTTCAGAAAGATGACCATAACCAAAATGAATACAAAAATATGGGGTGGTATTCAATTTAGTCAACCGATTCAAATTTACAGACATAACTGAGTTGAATACCACCCAAAATAAACTAAATGCTGCAAAAGAGGTGGAATGAAAACTCCTGCAGTATTTGGAACACAGAATGGGGGACCATGCATAAAACATTGCCCACAAAGGCTTAAAGGCGTGCAATGGTTACAAGACAACTTGATTTTTGCTTGTTAGCTATCAAGTTCCTGAAAATGAATTGGGAAGCAATGCAACACAGAGGGCTTCTTTTTCTGACCATGCTCAGGTAGCTCCAGTTTGGGGGGAGAACAAATCTCAGCAAGAACATCTACATGAAACAGCTGAGTGAAGTCATTTAGAGATCTAGGCTGAGATGTCTCCAGTTTACCAATGAGATTCTGCTCTCTCATTTTCATCATGTCCTAGGGAGGTGATAGAATTGCTGAATCATTGTCAGAACAATGTCCTGCTTTCATTTCTTATAAGGGATGTGTTAAGTTGTGGGTGAACATATCAGACGACACAGCGATTCTTCAAACAGCTCTTGTTTATTCACAGGCCAGAACAGAACTGAACTGAAGGGTTCAGCCAGCCTGCTTATATAGAGCTCCACTAGAACGCAACAGTAACCATTTTCTGTAACTAGCCAATCACTGAACGTCACTTTCGATCGCTTATTCGCATACCTGAACTATCTACAATATCCCGCTGCTGGCCCAGGGTGAGAACTTCAGTACATAACAGGATGCTTTTTAAAAAAACTTATTATTTTGATTTTCTCTAAACTCCCAAATAATTCATCTGGCCCTTCACAGAACTTGAAGATGGAGATCAAGTCACTAAACAGAGGCCCCCAGTGCCCAACACTCATTTCTCTCTCCCCTCAAGAGTGGCATGAATACACAGAGAGATAGAATTTTGATAAACGGTGCAAGCATCTGGTAATCTAACCTTATTTTCCTTGATAGCAAGTAGGCAGAAAAAGATCAATAGAAAATTTCATGGCATCATCTTATTTCAGTTCTCATTAACTTTTCCAATCAGCTTTTTTTTATTGCCAATACCTTAATGTTATTTCATGTCTCTTTCTTGGCTGGCAGACTTGGCTTCTCTGCTTGCCTACCTTCTTTTTACACTAACCTATTAGTGTGTTGCTGGAGGCAATTTCAGGCATCAAGATTTCATTTATTATTTTGAAACAGTTGACATAAATCCCATAGCGCATAGGAAATTACAGCCATGAAGTGTATATTGCAGGGGTTTTGACTCATGCAAGCCATCCTGGGTTCCCCATCTGTGTGGGCAATCTGCTCCTACATTTTCAGCCAGATTGAATGGGCAGATTAATGGGTACAATTAGAAAGCGCCCTCACAGGCATTCAAACTGCCTTCATTAGGATGCTCAAGAGGTTGCCTACAGAAGCCTAGTTTTCTGCTGGTTAGCCATCAATGCTTGACCATGCCCATATGGGCAAAAACAAAAGTGGGCATAGCAGCCAGCAGACCTAGTTAGAAAGGTTTAAAGTGCTGACACAACGAGAGGGCTTCAGGGGAGGAAATGGGTTTTCAGCCTTTTAGCAACAGCCACAAAGCAGCGAGATCGGCAATGGCTCTATTCCTCCTCAGCAGTGCTATTTCTCCAGAAAAAGAGGTGCCGGTAGTCACCACGAACTCCTCCCTTGTTCTCTTAGAATGGCAATGGCACCCACCTGAGAGGTGCTGGAGCTGAGCTCCTGTTAACTCTGGCGGAAACCCCCCCCTGCTCCTAAGGCATTCGTATTTGGAATCGTAAGTAATCAGTTCTACGACACGGAATAGTTACGTGGATAGACAATTTTAAAAGGTCTCCATTGGCAAGGTTCATGTCCTACATTTGAAGACACCAGACCCTTGCGACATTTTGGCAAAGTTCTACTAAAACCAGGTGATCAGCAGAATATTAAACATACACAGCAGCTGAGGAGTTACTGGGACCCTCTGCCTCCTGCCATACTGCAAGAGACAGCTTGACCACCACATCTAGTACAGTGGTGCCCCGCAAGACGAATGCCTCGCAAGACGAAAAACTCGCTAGATGAAAGGGTTTTCCGTTTTTTGAGTCGTTCCGCAAGACGAATTTCCCTATGGGCTTGCTTCGCAAGACGAAATGTCTTGTGAGTTCTTGTGAGTTTGTTTCCTTTTTCTTAAAGCCGCTAAGCCGTTAATAGCCGCTAAGCCGCTAATAGCCGTGCTTCGCAAGACGAAAAAACCACAAGACAAAGAGACTTGCGGAACGGATTAATTTCGTCTTGCGAGGGCACCACTTCTGAAAAGGACCTCTGCCATACAGGGGAAACAAGCTGATATTTCCATTTGCAGTGGATTCACACTCTTGACTGTAGTGGGGAGGCTTTAAATAATGACAATAAATGGTCAAAGTACCATATTCTTCGCTCTATAAGATGTACCAGACCATAAGACGCACCTGCAGCGATCCCTCTTGCTGTTCTGGCTTCAGCGAAAGCAACACGAAGCCTCTTCAGGGTAGCGGGAGGAAGGCTCTCCCTGCGCTGAAGAGGCTTCGCGTAACGAACCCTCTTGCTGTTCTGGCTTCTGGGATAGCCGTGCGAAGCCTGCATTTGCTCCATAAGATGCACACACAGCTCCCCTTACTTTTTAGGAGGGAAAAGTGCGTCTTGTAGAGCGAAAAATACGGTAGCTAAAAAGTTTGGAGTTCAAGATCTACACTGAGCAATCAAAGAGGCTCTGCACAGCTGTAGATTGCACTGCCGAGAGTGGAACAAGGTTAATCCTCCAGTTGCTATCCAACTAGACACTTCCCCTAGTGCAAGGAGTTTGAGCTGCGCAATGGAACTGGCCTGCATTCTCCTCTCCACACATGCCCCTGAATTTTTCTATTGGAAAATGCCTGAGAAAGGAGTAACTTTAACAAATGCAGAAACTTGTTTCCAATGAGAAAGTTAAGCACTCTGTGTATAGTCACTGCTCTTAGGGAACATGATTTTAAGGTGTTCTATAGAGCAGTGTTCCCCAACCTTGGGCCTCCAGCTGTTTTTGGACTACAACTCCCATCATCCCTCGCTAGCAAGACCAGTGGTCAAGGATGATGGGAATTGTAGTCCAAAAACAGCTGGAGGCCCAAGGTTGAGGAACACTGCTATAGAGGACACTTTACACCTATTAAAATTACACAAATGCAACCCCCAAAATTTCCAGATTTTTTGTGATAATGCCAAGAACCGGAGGCAAATGATTTTCGTGGACAGCAGAGTTACTGAAAAATTCAAGTCCTTTGGCAACATGGTTTCATAATTAAAGATGCAATTTACTGCCAACACCCTTTGGGAGCCCATTTGGAATATTCAAAAGAGGTCACCTGTGAATCAATCAGGCCTGTATCTCTTAATCATCAAAACCTCTTTGCAAAAAGACGGAATTTTCAATAACTCCAGCAGACATGAAAATCATCTGCCCTTGGTTCTTAGTCTGATTCCTACAAATATGGAGAACTGTTTATTTGCTGTAGCTAAAATAGAAATTTACAGCGAATGAAAAAACTGCTCCATCTAATGGGATGAGAATCTGTTTAATATTAGAACAATTCTCAAACGTTCCCTTTGATTTTATTACCCTAATGGGACAGTCATATTATTAAAATTAAGTTTGATTCATGTTTATAATTAGACAGATTTTTATTTTTGTTTATGGAGTTCTTAACAAAGAATGCTCTTCAATCATCAGCTTTTATTTGCTGGTAATAGGTTTGATAATTCTGAGTAATGAATGGCATTTTATATTCAGAGACAGGTCCTGGAGGGTTATTCTGTTGTAGCAGTCTCTGATTATATATTCATATTCTATAACTCTTCTCTTCTGAATATTTCCCAATATTTTTTTGAAAAAATGTTTCGGTAGTGCAGTAATTTTTAAAATGTGTAATTTATTCCATAAGCTGGATACAGTTCAAAAATTTAGAACCTGTTTTAGTGTCAGAAGAAATAACCTTGAAAATAATAAGCTAAAACATATTCCGACCTGTTCAGGGACTGTAGACAAACCACCCTAAGGACCTGTCAATGACCTTATCTTTCTTATTTTACTAGAAAAATGCAGTACTGCACTCTGTCCATCATAAACTTCAAGGACCCTTTTATCCACTTCCAAGATTCTGCAAGAGGACACAGCTACCTTTCTGATGCCTTCTGTTAGTTTGCAACAATTTATTTATAGCAGGGGATGCTGAGAATCAGATCCTGTAAAATTAATCTAAGCCTTGAAAAGCACATAGAACTGAAAGAGGAAGCAGGAACGAATGTCGCTCTTCCAACGTCCCCCTTCCGCTCTATTAAAAAGCTAACCATCTTCCCCACCTCATCATCAAGGGACCAGGGAGCAGATGTGGGGTCAGAGCCTTCATAGGAACTGGGCAAGACCTCAGGTGCCATTGTGTCGACAGGAACCATATGGTGATCCATGCTTTGTAGAAGCTAGCCTACCCTGAAGGAGAACAGTAGGTCACACATGTCACTGCGCCAAGTGAAATGTCATGCAACAAGGAAAAGGGGAAGGGACTGTTCAGCTATAGCATAGGAGCCTGAATCCAAAAGGACACTGCCAGAACTGAAGGATATTTTTATTAAAAAACCAGAAGCATTTTTACTTGGCATTGTAGGAGATTGTATAAAAAGAAAGGGCTGTAAATTATTTCTATATGCAATGACGGCAGCAAGAATATTACTGGCACAAAATTGGAAACAAGAAGAATTACCGACAAAAGAAGAAATGGAGGATGAAACTGATGGACTATGCAGAATTAGATAAATTAACAGGAAGAATTTGAAATCTGCGGGACCAGAGATTCACAGAAGACTGGCATAAATTTACGGACTATTTGGAGAGTAATTGTGATGATCATATTACGCTTGTAGGTTTGCGAGAAGTTTTGTAAAGTGGTATATTTTTTTAAAAAGAAAAAAGAACTGAAGGATATTGTTTGCTTGTTTATCAGGAATTGGTGGCAAGTTGTCTGGGCACAGGAAGCAAAAAGCATCACCTTTCAGGCTGAAGGCAAAGCTCAACTTACAAGCAGTGGTCTTCAGCAAACATCCGATGTCTTTGCCATTCTTGTTGCCTTTGTTTTTCTTCAAGCTTGTTGGCCTATAATAGGAAGACATCCAAACAATGTGTCATCTCAGCAGGTAAAAAATAATTAACAGAGCTCAGCCAGAAGCTAAACATACAGATGCCGAGAGAAGGCCCAAATATATAAAGTTAATCTTGATTCTCTGCAGCCGTATTTTTTTGCAATCTGCTTGTCCCTTATTACTAGTAAATATATTTTATTTATTTAATGCCTTTTTATCCTGCCCTTTTCCCAATGGGCTCGGGGTAGCATACATGGCTTCTTCTCTGTTTTACAGTGGTGCCCCGCAAGACGAATGCCTCGCAAGACGAAAAACTCGCTAGACGAAAGGGTTTTCCGTTTTTTGAGTCATTCCGCAAGACGAATTTCCCTATGGGCTTGCTTTGCAAGACGAAACGTCTTGCAAGTTCTTGCAAGTTTGTTTCCTTTTTCTTAAAGCCGCTAAGCTGTTAATAGCCGCTAAGCCGCTTATAGCCGCTAATAGCCGTGCTTCGCAAGACGAAAAAACCGCAAGACGAAGAGACTCGCGGAACGGATTAATTTCGTCTTGCGTCACATTCGAGTCTGCCCCATTTTTAAGATTGTTTGTTCTTTAAGAAGGTACTTAGCTGTACTTGTGCAACCTAAATATTCCATGTGCAATGCTTCGAGAGCCCATTGCAGAACCCAAATAAAGGAGAAGAATAAGGCAGTGTTTCCCAACCGGTGTTCCGCGGCACACCAGTGTGCCGTGAGACCTTGCCTGGTGTGCCGTGGGAGGGAGGCGGGAGAGGCGGGGTGGCGCGGCACCCGAGATCGCTTCTCCCCACCGCCCCTTGCTTCAAAAGAGGTCCGGGGACAGCGGGAAGCGCTTCGCGCTGCCCCCGGACCTCTTTTGAAGCAAGGGGCTGCGGGGAGATCGCTTCTCCCGGTGCTCCGAAGCGGGGCGGGGGGCGGGAACCTGCAGCGCGGAGCGCGGGGCGCCCTTTGGAGGACGCCCCGTGCTTCGCGCAGCTGTCCGCAAGCCTTGGGCGCCTGGGGGAACTCCCCCCCAGCGCGCAAGGCTTGCGGGCGGCAGCCTGCAGCGCGGAGCGCGGGGCGCCCTTTGGAGGACGCCCCGTGCTTCGCGCAGCTGTCCGCAAGCCTTGGGCGCCTGGGGGAACTCCCCCCCCGGCGCGCAAGGCTTGCGGGCGGCAGCCTGCAGCGCGGAGCGCGGGGCGCCCTTTGGAAGACGCCCCGTGCTTCGCGCAGCTGTCCGCAAGCCTTGGGCGCCTGGGGGAACTCCCCCCCCGGCGCGCAAGGCTTGCGGGCGGCAGCCTGCAGCGCGGAGCGCGGGGCGCCCTTTGGAGGACGCCCCGTGCTTCGCGCAGCTGTCCGCAAGCCTTGGGCGCCTGGGGGAACTCCCCCCCCGGCGCGCAAGGCTTGCGGGCGGCAGCCTGCAGCGCGGAGCGCGGGGCGCCCTTTGGAGGACGCCCCGTGCTTCGCGCAGCTGTCCGCAAGCCTTGGGCGCCTGGGGGAACTCCCCCCCCGGCGCGCAAGGCTTGCGGCGGCAGCCTGCAGCGCGGAGCGCGGGGCGCCCTTTGGAGGACGCCCCGTGCTTCGCGCAGCTGTCCGCAAGCCTTGGGCGCCTGGGGGAACTCCCCCCCCGGCGCGCAAGGCTTGCGGGCGGCAGCCTGCAGCGCGGAGCGCGGGGCGCCCTTTGGAGGACGCCCCGTGCTTCGCGCAGCTGTCCGCAAGCCTTGGGCGCCTGGGGGAACTCCCCCCCCGGCGCGCAAGGCTTGCGGGCGGCAGCCTGCAGCGCGGAGCGCCCTTTGGAGGACACCCCGTGCTTCGCGCAGCTGTCCGCAAGCCTTGGGCGCCTGGGGGAACTCCCCCCCCGGCGCGCAAGGCTTGCGGCGGCAGCCTGCAGCGCGGAGCGCGGGGCGTCCTTCGGAGGACGCCCCGTTCTTCGCGCAGCTGTCCGCAAGCCTTGCGCGCCCGGGGGAACTCCCCCCGCGTGCACGGCTTGCGGGCGGCAGCCAGCAGCGCGGAGCACGGGGCGCCCTCCGTAGGAGGCTGCGGAGGGTGGCGCGGAGCTGCCCGCGCTCCAGGGCTTCTTGCAGCTCCGCGCCACCCCCGGATCCCGGTGCGAAGCCGCGCGGGGCTGCGGAGGGTGGCACGGAGCTGCCTGCGCTCCAGGGCTTCTTGCAGCTCCGCGCCACGCCCCCCCATCCCGGCGCGAAGCCGCGCGGGGCTGCGGAGGGTGGTGCGAAGCTCCCTGCGCTCCAGGGCTTCTTGCAGCTCCGCGCCACCCCCCGGATCCCAGCGCGAAGCCGCACGGGGCTCTGGAGGGTAGTGCAGAGCTGCCTGCATCCCGAAGCCTGGTGCGCGCTGAAGAGCGCCCCCGGGCTTCACGCACCTCTCCGCAAGCCTGGGGAGACCAGTGTGGCTCCCTAGGCTTGCGGATATCAGGCTGTTCTGGGGGCTGGGGTCGGGGGAAGCTTGGGTTTCCCCCGCGCCTGCCCCGTGCCTGGGGAGGGGAAAATTTTTTTTTTCTTTATTCTCCCCCCAAAAAATTAGGTGCGTCTTATGGGGCGGTGCGTCCTATGGGGCGAAAAATATGGTAGTCAATATAGGCACAGAGTTAAATTTTTTAACATTTTCTAATGGTGGTGTGCCTCGAGATTTTTTTCATGAAACAAGTGTGCCTTTGCCCAAAAAAGGTTGGGAAACACTGGAATAAGGTAAAGGTAAAGGGACCCCTGACCATTAGGTCCAGTCGTGACCGACTCTGGGGTTGCGGCGCTCATCTCGCTTTATTGGCCGAGGGAGCCGGCGTACAGCTTCCAGGTCATGTGGCCAGCATGACTAAGCCGCTTCTGGCGAACCAGAGCAGCACACGGAAACGCCGTTTACCTTCCCGCCAGATCGGTACCTATTTATTTACTTGCACTTTGATGTGCTTTTGAACTGCTAGGTTAGCAGGAGCAGGGACCGAGCAACAGAAGCTCACCCCATGGCGTGGATTCGAACCGCCAACCTTCTGATCGGCAAGCCCTAGGCTCTGTGGTTTAACCCACAGCGCCACCCGCGTCCTGGCAAGTAATTACAACTATATTTCTATGAAGTAGCATCAGTTTGTTTGAAGAGCACACCCACACACCCATTTGCAAGGGGTTACATGAGGCGGAAAAATGTTAAAATGGCCTGAGTGTGTCTTCTTACTTTCTCTCTCTGGATCATTTTCATTTTTAAAATGTCAGCTTCTTCAGCTTCTCTTTTGCGTCTTTCATATTCTTCTTTCTTCAGCTACAAGGAGAGAGAGAAAAAGTTCTGTCACTTTACAGACCAGACACCTACCCGCAAGCTAACTTTTACCCTTCTCACATTTCAGGGAGGAAACTGACAAACAGAACCTCGAAACCAAAAAATAGTATTTGCAAAGGTAAACGTGCTATCGGATCCAATGTGCACCTTAATTTTCGCAACATAATTTGGCCAAAAAAGGTGAGCATTAGATTCGAGTAAATAGAGTATTTTATGGCTGTAACAATGGGACGCGGGTGGTGCTGTTGTTAAAAGCCTCAGCGCCTAGGGCTTGCCGATCAAAAGGTCGGCGGTTCGAATCCCCGCGGCGGGGTGCGCTCCCGTTGCTCGGTCCCAGCACCTGCCAACCTAGCAGTTCGAAAGCACCCCCAGGTGCAAGTAGATAAATAGGGACCGCTTACTGGCGGGAAGGTAAACGGCGTTTCCGTGTGCTGCGCTGGCTCGCCAGATGCAGCTTGTCACGCTAGCCACGTGACCCGGAAGTGTCTCCGGACAGCGCTGGCCCCTGGCCTCTTGAGTGAGATGGGCGCACAACCCTAGAGTCTGTCAAGACTGGCCCGTAGGGCAGGGGTACCTTTACCTATGGCTGTAACAGCTTTATTTGTTTTTTAACAGACACAGACACACTCTGGGACCTTGTGGTAAACGGCAGTTAAGGAATCTTGTAAAATAAAAAATAAAGGATAATTATTGAGTTCAGAAATTTCTGCTTCAGAATTTTATCCTCTTGTCACCAGTGTTTCCATGCACTTGTTTCCTTTACAAAAAAATTAAAAAGTTAAGGTACGGCAACAAATTCATCTCCTGGTTCCACGCTGTGACCAAGGAACTGACAGTCGCATCCTGCCTGACCTTTTGCTGGTATTTAGATTGGATGTGCTCAAGTTGCTGTTTCCGCCTCACTTCGGCCTCCGATATTCTTCCACCTATAAATACAAAAATGCATCATCTCTTCTGAAGTCCACTCTCAACAAAATGGCATCATCAGAGGCAGCATTAAACTACATTGTAAGCTAGCTGAGGGATTCATTGCTGACACAATGGTTATGGCTACAAAAAAACTTGCAGATGCTCTACCTCTCTTTTAAATCAGAACCAGTGAAGGCGATGAAGTTCCTGTGTGAGTGTCTGGAGGCGGTTGGAGGATGGATGGCGGCTAACAGATTGAGGTTGAATCCTGACAAGACAGAAGTACTGTTTTTGGGGAGCAGGAGGCAGGCAGGTGTGGAGGACTCCCTGGTCCTGAATGGGGTAACTGTGCCCCTGAAGGACCAGGTGCGCAGTCTGGGAGTCATTTTGGACTCACAGCTGTCCATGGAGGCACAGGTCAAATCTGTATCCAGGGCAGCTGTTTACCAGCTCCATCTGGTACGTAGGCTGAGACCCTATCTGCCTGCAGACTGTCTCGCCAGAGTGGTACATGCTCTGGTTATCTCCCGCTTGGACTACTGCAATGCGCTCTATGTGGGGCTACCTTTGAAGGTGACCCAGAAACTACCCAGAAACTACAACTAATCCAGAATGCAGCAGCTAGACTGGTGACTGGGAGCGGCCGCCGAGACCATATAACACCGGTCTTGAAAGACCTACATTGGCTCCCAGTACGTTTCCGAGCACAATTCAAAGTGTTGGTGCTGACCTTTAAAGCCCTAAACGGCCTTGGTCCAGTATATCTGAAGGAGCGTCTCCTCCCCCATCGTTCTGCCCGGACACTGAGATCCAGCTCCGAGGGCCTTCTGGCGGTTCCCTCACTGCGAGAGGCCAAGTTACAGGGAACCAGGCAGAGGGCCTTCTTGGTAGTGGCGCCCGCCCTGTGGAACGCCCTCCCATCAGATGTCAAAGCGATAAACATCTACCTGACATTCAGAAGACATCTGAAGGCAGCCCTGTTCAGGGAAGTTTTTAATGTGTGACATTTTAGTGTATCCTTCATCTTTGTTGGAAGCCGCCCAGAGTGGCTGGGGAAACCCAGCCAGATGGGCGGGGGTACAAATAATAAATTATTATTAATTATTATTATTATTATTATTATTATTATTATTATTATTATTATGTATCCAGGACATCCCCAGTGAAAGTCAACAGGGAGACTAAACACCACCTAGGACAATATATTTAATTCTCTACATAGCACTATCCGTTAGTTTGGGAGAGGGAGATGATGTTTAACCCTGTATTGTTCTGCAAGGTGTTTACTTTTAATTTCTGAGTTTCTTGCCTTTTTTCCTTCCCTAGTTTTTGCAAGCCCCACCCCAGGACAGACACTGGGGAAGTTTTGAAGGCTGCACATGGCAGAGGCTATTCACCACTACTCTCCCCCCCCCCGCCCAGTAAAACAAGTAAACATTAAAGACAGGAAACTTTTCCTTAATGCTGGAAGAGGCCTATTTGTTCAAGGTTACCAAGTGTGTGATATAAAGCTTCAAAGTTATAGAAGCCTGATGATCTGGCCACTGGAGCTTCCATTTCCCCAAAGAGAGGAAGTTTTAATTCTCACAATTCTTCAAAAGAAGCTAAGAAAAACACAGCATCTGAAATGTATTTCCCTTTCCCCCCCTTGTTCGCTTACCCAGTTTCTGGGGTGTCAAGGTAATTAGCCCCGGCCTGTGCCATTCCTTCCATTTCTCCAGGTCTTCCAACTCTTTGGTAGCAACTGAAATATGGTAAGTGAAGCAAAGAGTCAAAATACTGCAAGGAAAAGGTATCAGGCCAGGTAGAAAATAAATGGCCCCCACATGTCTCATAAGGTTAGTGTCAGTGGTCACTTGGTGGACTCAAGTGCTGCTTGAGGCAAAATGGGAATGTGTCACCACGCTGGTGGCAAGGTGCCCACAGGGGCTTCGGCTGCTTGAGGCAGTCACCCCACCTTGCCTCGTGGGTGGGCCGGCCCTGGAGAGCAAAGCTCTGCCACTCATCAACACCTATGACTTCTACAGGGCACTATAATTTGCAAGAGTGAACTTTAAGGCCACTTGCAAGGTGTAGGCTTGCTTCTAGCAACACATCTGTAGCTATTACACTGTAATAGCTGAAGTCGGTCATGATACCCTGACCACAGGGGCAGAAGTCTTGCAGTAGTGAAAGGAGTGAGATCCAATTCAGTCAATGTTTCAGCGGATATACAAAATGCAGAAGTGAGGTTGTAGTCCTCATAATACTTTCAGGACAGAATGGAAAGATCTCATCAGATCCACCCACGTGCAATTGAATTGAAAAGGCCATATGTTTGTTTTTACTTTAATAACGTATGAGTTGCCCGATAAAAATATTCTCTAGCTGAAAAAAGCTATAAAAAGGTAAAGGACCCCTCCGGTGGGAAGGTAAACGGCATTTCCGTGCGCTGCTCTGGTTCGCTAGAAGAGGCTTAGTCATGCTGGCCACATGACCCGGAAGCTGTACGCCGGCTCCCTCAGCCAATAAAGCAAGATGAGCGCCACAACCCCAGAGTCCGCCACGACCTAATGGTCAGGGGTCCCTTTACTTTTAAAGGACCCCTGGCAGTTAAGTCCAGTCGCAGACGACTCTGGGGGTGCAGCGCTCATTTCGCTCTATAGGCCAGGGGAGCCGGCATTTGTCCGCTGACAGTTTTTCCAGGTCATGTGGCCAGCATGACTAAGCCGCTTCTGGCACAAGGGAACACAGAAACCAGAGCAGCGCATGGAAACGTCATTTACCTTCCCACTGGAGCGGTACCTATTTATCTACTTGCACTTTAACGTGCTTTTGAACTGCTATGTTGACAGGAGTTGGGGCCGAGCAATGGGAGCTCACCCCATCAAGGGGATTCGAACCACCGACCTTCTGATCGGCAAGCCCAAGAGGCTCAGTGGTTTAGACTACAGCGCCATCCGTGTCTTGAAAAAAGCTATAGAGCACACCAATTAGCAGGTGCACTTTGTTAAAATTGAAGCATAAGGAGCTGCCTGTTACCATTTACTAATCTAGCCCAGATGGTTTGAAGCATCTGCAACTTTCTAGATTAGTGACACCCACCCTCTTCTCAGGACTTGTCAGCAAGAAGGAAGACTTGTGAGCAAGCATCCATTCCTGCCCAAAAAGGCAACATACAACCCAGGAACTGATACGCTATGAAGAGGTTCGTCAACAGGATAACGTACTTACTTTTCTGTAACTGATTCCTCCTCACTGGATTTGGAGGAATCACAGCAAAGGCACCCAGACTAGAGAGGTTGCAGGTTGGAAGAAGAGACACGGGAGGGAGAGAGAGAAAATACATTACTATCTAGCATTCACTTGATGTGTCTTTAGATTGTTGTAGATTTTTAGTTGCATTTATTTCATTTGAGACAAGGACATTCATATGCCACCCTCCAAAACTATTTCTTGCACAGATCCAGTCTTTCCCCTCAATGGAAAATAATGGTGATGGTTGCTATGAAATATGGCAACCATATTTCATAATTGTAAAAAACCAATGTTTTACTCATAGTAGAATTACTGAAATTAATGGGCATAACTTACGTCATGCTCATTAATTTCAATGGGTCTCCTCTGAGTAAAAACATGGGTACACATAGAGTACACATTGCTATCCAGTGCACTCCCACTATTTTTGAAGTCATATTTACACGTTACCTACTATCCATTCCGATTTTGTAGTTTCTAGATCAGGCATAGGCAAATCCAGCCCTCCACATGTTTTGAACTACAATTCCCACCATCCCTAGCTAACAGGACCAGTGGTCAGGGATGGTGGAAATTGCAGTCTCAAAACATCCGGAGGGCCAGAGTTTGCCTATGCCTGTTCTAGATAACCACTGGTATTTGATGTGTTTTTCTTCAAACCCGCTTCAACGCAACTAGAAAAGTTGGGCCCCATGCTCATGTTGAATCTGGTGTGTGCCTTTGAGAGAATCATTGTGCACGTTCAGATGAATGAGCATTCACAGGCGATACCTTCACGAACAGGGGTTCTGTGTGTGCGCGCATTGCGGGGGCAGGAAAACCAAGCCGGTAACGCTTGTTGGGTGAAGACATCCCCGACCCCTCTCTGGTGTGTACAGCAAAGGACAAATGTGAATTGAATTGGCAGAGGGAGGAAGTTGGTAAATTACTTCAACTTTTAAGCCACTAATGTGTACACAGCCAAAGCTGAATACCACCCGTAGTTTCATTTTGCCAGCTATGAAAAGACACAGCTGCTTCTCTCCCGAAACGTATGAAGCTAAATAAATCTGAAAGAAGACTCCAGAAAGAGAAGCCCCAAAGAAAAGAAAAAAGACTCACTTGGGATCAATTTAATTGTATACAGCCTTGGAAGCATTATCCTGAAGCACGGGCTATAAATAATTATAGTAAGTAATATATAAATAGTTCGTCCATATTTCTTTTAATTAGTATTTATCAGAAGAAATATGAACTTAAGCATTTTCAGAATGGCTACCCTAGCGCTTCGATTTGCTTCCTTACCTATTCTAACCTCTCCGGTACTTCGCACAGAATACAAAATTTTTCCTTCACCGCCACCACCCTACCTGAAGTTATGCTGCCTTCTCCCTGCTACAGAGAAAGGAGAGTGGTGAATGTGTCCTTACAGACGCTTCTGAAGTTGGAAGGATGTCATTTTATTTCCCAGGACAAAACTTCCTCGATCATAATCGTAATGTCTGCTGCCAAGCGCAGTAGCAGAACTCTGTCACAGCTTGGCCAGATTCTCATTTCATTTCCATGGCATCAAAGTTAAAGGCTTGTGTAGCTTTTGGTAACAGCAAAAGATAGATTCTAGCATTTTATTTTATTTTAGATATGAGAAAGTTGTGGCATACACAGGAAATGTCAGCACACGGGGAAAAGGCAACAAATCTTATTTTATTATGCAGACAGAGGCCTTCGCTCAGTTCTGTGAGACGCTTACAGAACACCGCCTTGGAACAAGAGCCCTTCTACACAATCTGTCAAGGCAAGATCCAAATACATTTAACACTTTGTATGACAGCTCTGCAAGTCAGCAAGAATAGCAATGACACCTGTAAGGAAAGGAGAAGCCAAAGTGATTTATAAGTTGGAGCACAGAAGGAAAGGGTTGCCAAACACGAGCAGAGAATTAAAGAGATACCCAAAGACTAGACTGCACACACCCTGATTTCCTTTTTTAGTATGATATCCCCGTTTATTGTACATCATTAGAGAGTGATGATAACATATAGTGCATCTAAACTCAGCAATATTCTGAGTTCGGTGGGGGGGATTAAAAATGCAATGTGGCAGTTTGACCTAATTTATCTTTGTTGCAAAACTGCTGCATTTTCGCACAATACATCTCTTGCTGACCCTTTTCTATATGACACCAGTTAATTAGGCACATGAACGTGTAGCAAATGGATTTTAACATCTGTACAACCTAATTATGTAATTTCTGCGCCCTGCAGAAATGCAAGCGGTTGCCTCTCAGGCTGACTGTTCTTAAAGCTTTCATTAGAGAGTTGCTGTAAGGAACTATCAATATCAGCTTGCATCTGATCTGTGTACACCAGTGTTTCACAACCTTTTTCTGAATGGGGCCCCCTTCTGACCTTGTTTCTTTCCTGTGCCCCCCGTGGATGTAGCCAAGGGGGGGCAGGGGGGCAGCTGCCCCCCAATAAGAAAAAAAGTCAATACAAATCTGAGGTTCTGCTTCCCCAAGAAAAATCCTGGCTACCCCCATCCTACTGGTAGAAAGGTAGCTATTTAAATGCTTTGCTTGTAAGTAGAAGATGTTTTATTTATACTTTGATAATTTATACAAAATACAATTACATAAAATGATAGGAACATAATGAAATATTGTTGAAGCAGAAAAACAGAGAATCATGGAACTGGAAGGGACCCCAAAGGTAATCTTTCTAGTGCAGCTCCCTGCAATGTAGGAAAATCAGCTAAAGCATCCGTGACAGAAGGCCATCCAGCCTCTGCTTAAAAACCTCCCAGGAAGAAGAGTCCAGAACCTCCTGAGGGAGATCCATCTTCCAAGTATTATAAAACGAATACAACATTTATTTGACCCTAGTTATTTGACACAGAGGGGGAAACCTACAGATAAAGTCCAAAAGCTGCGCAGGGAGTTCTGTATATATGAGAGAATGTTAAAAAGTAAGTGGTCCTCACTGACCTGCTGGAAAAAGATCTTGTTATCTGGAGGAGCCCTGGCTGCCTAGATCAGGCTTCCTCAACCTCAGCCCTCCAGATGTTTTTGGCCCACAACTCCCATGATCCCTAGCTAGCAGGACCAGTGGTCAGGGATAATGGGAAGTGTAGTCTCAAAACATCTGGAGGGCCAAGGTTGAGGAAGCCTGGCATAGATAAAACCCGATAGACCTGGGAGTAAGGCCCACTGAATTCAGTGCGGCTTTCTTCTGGTCCATATAGTTAAAGCTATGGTTTCTGCAATAGTGATGTATGGAAGTGAGAGCTGGACCATAAAGAAGGCTGATGGCCGAAGAATGGATGCTTTTGAATTAAGGTGCTGGAGGAGACTCTTGAGAGTCCCATGGACTGCAAGAAGATCAAACCTCTCCATTCTGAAGGAAATCAGCCCTGAGTGCTCACTGGAAGGACAGATCCTGAAGCTGAGGCTCCAGTACTTTGGCCACCTCATGAGAAGAGAAGACTCCCTGGAAAAGCCCCTGATGCTGGGAAAGATGGAGGGCACAAGGAGAAGGGGACGACAGAGGACGAGATGGTTGGACAGTGTTCTCGAAGCTACCAGCATGAGTTTGACCAAACTGCGGGAGGCAGTGGAAGACAGGAGTGCCTGGCGTGTTCTGGTCCATGGGGTCACGAAGAGTCGGGCACGACTAAATGACTAAACAAAAACAACAACAACAACATTCTTCTGAGTAGACACTTTGTTATTTACTAGATGCATGTCAGCAGGACCAAACGACCCCACCCCTTAAGAGCTGGCCAACACTGCCAACGGGCCCTGCGCCCCTTGGCAACATCCGTAGGCGCTGGGGTGGATTGCACCCTGCGCATTGCAGTGTCAGGCCCAGGCTGCCACCGGACCCAGCACTGGCGACAGCAAAAAAGCAGCTCCGGCTCTCCCAGCCCTACCCACTGCCACCTCAAAACCGCACTTACCTGACCTGGGGGTTCTGGACTGTGGGCTCTACCGGTTAAAGCGGGAGACCAGTAAACCAAATACTGACAAGACGGAGATAGTTCTCCAACCTGAGATTTAGGAGCCCTGCCCGTTCTCGAGAGGATTGCAGTCTCTCTCAGGGAGCATCTACATAACTTGTGAGGACTCCTGGACCCAACATTGTCCCTAGAGATGAAAATGTCTTTTGTGGTCTTCTTTTGGCTTCAGATGGTTCCCCAGTTAGGACCATTTCTAGACAGAGAGTGTTTGGCCACAGTACAGTGGTAACTCGAGTTAAGTACAGTGGTACCTCAGGTTAAGTACTTAATTTGTTCCAGGAGGTCCGTTCTTAACCTGAAACTGTTCTTAACCTGAAGCACCACTTTAGCTAATGGGGCCTCCTGCTGCTGCCTGTGCCGCCAGAACACGATTTCTGTTCTCATCCTGAAGCAAAGTTCTTAACCCGAGGTACTATTTCTGGGTTAGCGGAGTCTGTAACCTGAAGTGTATGTAACCTGAGGTACCACAGTATCTTGTGCTCTGGTCATTTTCCAGCTGCCTTACTTTAACACACTGCCCGTGGGGCTGCCATTACTACGTTTTTAATCAATTCAGTCAGATGCAACAACAGGACACCAATTCTAGAAGAACTACTCCATTGTCTGCCTGTTCACTTCCTGGACCAATTGAAGATGCATGTTAAAGCCTTAGACAACACTCGTCAACGACCACCTCTCCCTATTCTAGCCTGCCTGCACCTTTCGTCTGGGGCTGAGGAGTGGCATCTTCTTCAACTTCCACCATCTACGGAAATCCATTACGTGGCAACACATGAGAGACCCTAATGGGTAATGGCACTCTGGGTATAGACTGCTTTCTCCTCAAAGCGGTCTGACTGGCACCAACTCTGTCGCTTTGGGATAACTTCCTCATCCAGGCATTTTCAGAGTTTTAGTTTTGATTGCTTAACCCAGCTGTGCTGTTGATGGTTTTAGCGATCTTAATTTGCTATGCTTGTGAAATTCCATTTCTGAGGTTTGGTTATTTTGTTTGTGGCACTGTGCCCCGATACTGATACGGACGAAGGGTGGATTGCACATT